CCCCAAAACCCCAAAACCCCAAAACCCCGCGAATCAATTATTGAAAAATTTGGAAAGCACTTATATTATAATATTGGTTAAATCTTATTATTATAATCTAAGACTAAGAAATTCAATACTATTTCATCGAATGAGCAAAAGGATCGAAGGTCAGTTAGACCATTTCATACAAGCAGTGAAAGATAATTAGAAAAGTTTGTTGATAGCTGGAGCAGTAGCTGGAACTGCTGCTCTTGGCTTCTATGGTTTTAAGAAAATGCACCATTCAAATGAAATGAAGCTAGTGTCTGACAAACAATTCTCGCAACTTTCTACTTAGTACCCACTGCAGCTTAATGAAGCAGTATTCAGAGAGAGATTTTTATCAAACATTCAATATGATTTGGTACTTAATTTACATCCTAAAGATTCCATTTACTATTCAGGAAGAATCAAGATTTCATTCATGGTAAACGAGTAAGTGATTCAAGAAGATTTGAAAAATCTTTTTTTGGATTTCCATGGTCAAGGAATCTCGGACATGACAGTAAATTAGAACCATGTTCCATTATCCTCCTTATGCTTTGACTCACATAGAATCATGATACCATATGAGAACATCAAGCTGAATGCTATCAATCATCTCATTATCAAGTTCACAAATACATTTGAAGAAACTGGTAGAGGTGGATTAATGAAATATTTTAATCCAGTTGACAATGAGATTTATATTTTCAGCAATCTTGAACCATTTAACTGCAACAGATGGTTCCCATGCTTTGACTAGCCAAGTTTGAGGGCTTCTCTGAAGCTTTAAGTATTATCACCAGAAGCATAGTGGCAGATTATATCAAATGGAAAGAAGGTTAATTCAATGGCAGTTTCTGACATAAACTCTAAAAATCTTTTAGATGACTTGGGATGCTCAGAATTTCTCGAGCCTTATGAAGACAAGCATCATAGTTTACTAGTAATTCATTCCTTTGAAGATACACCCTCAATCAGTACTCACTTATTTGGCCTTTTCTGTGGCAGGTTCAAATGTTATATTGACTAAGACTAAGAAAAATTCCCGATCAGATTGTTCCAAAGTCATTATCATGACATTAAGCAGAGTTTGTTAATCGAACCAAAAGAAATTTTTAGAATTATACAAGTAGGCCTCTAATTTTATGAAGAATAATACGGAATCAAGTACCCCTTCTCCAAATTAGATCTAGTATTCTGTCCTAATTTGAATACTGAGGCTATTCACTCAGAAGGTACTATTGTATTAAATTAGAACAATTTTCTCGCATATCATGAGTAAACTGGTGCCTTTAGAGAACTTCCAATGATCAATGCTAGCCAAAGACTTACTCAAACTTTACTAGAATAGTTAAGTCAAATATGGTTTGGTGATCTTGTATCTATGAAGTGGTGGAATGATATTTGGCTTACTCAAGCTTTTAATAAGTTTATGGCTCTCTAGTGTACAAATCAATGCAATGAGCTCAAAAAATACAGATCTACTGAAAATATTATGATAGATGCCATTGCATAATCATTAATATTTGATACATCTCCCTATATCTAATCTTTAAATTTTAGTGCTATCAGTACCACAGAGGCTTTGACTCAATATGAATCCGAAAATGTCAATAAAGGTGTGATTTTCTTTTGGATTTTGACTCATAATATTGGATATAAAGGATTTTAGGCTGGAATCAAGGAATATTTTGCTAAATATAAGTTTCAAAATACTGACACTAAGGAATTAATTGATTCCTTCTAAATAGGACTCTCTAGACTAGGCTCTAATTAAGAAATAAGATTGTGGTGTAATCTGTGGCTCTAAAAACAAGGAGTAAATATAATTCACACAATAATAGAAAGAGACTTAATAAACTAAAGCTTTACACTTAACTTGAAGGCTTCAAACTAAAAACATGGAGACTAACATTATTTTGATCAAAAATTAGATGTAGCCTTGTATGATTAAGACATGAACGAGACAACAATAGAAAATGTAAGAATTTATGGAGATCATGTGAAAAATATATTCTCCGGGAATCTTGAGCTCTGTCCAGCTGCGATATTAGTAAACTCTAACTGTAAAGGTTACTGCAGAGTACACTTGGACTAGCAATCATTGAATCACTTCTTGATAAATTTATCAAAGGTAAAGAATGCAGTTAATAGAGCCTATCTCTATCGAGTTATTTTTGATCAGATAAAGCTAAGAAATTTGAAGCCTAATGACTATTTAGAAGCCTTATTCACAGAAATAGTTGTGGAAGAAAATTTTACAATCATTCCATCAATCCTTAACGATATCAATTATTGTTTGAAATACTATTACACTAATGGCGAAAGAAAAATACTCTAAGGGAAATACCAAAAAGTTTTATTGAGTATGATCACACGATCTGAGACTTTGAACTTAAAGAATTACTTGACTAAGGAGCTCTTGGAAAATGCAATCAATATGGATAGAGATTCAGAAATGCTAATCTAATGGCTCGATCTAGGAAGAATAACAAATTAGTAGGACAATAGTGTGGTGAACATTCTTACTCAAGAACATAAATTTATCATAGTCAGATTGCTTCACAGATCTAGAAATATTTCACTGTTTGATCTTAGAAAGAGACTAGAAGATGTGAGTTCTTCCATTTATCTCCAAAATCAGTATCTTAAGGATGTGTACAATATTGAAATTGAGTCAAGTTTCTATGAAGATGAGTAAAAGTAAAAAGTTTGGGACAAATATGTATCTGGTGAATACAATATTGAAGACTTTAAAATTTCAAGCAGATATTTCTACAACCTAGAAGATGATGAGATGTGTGAGATTTATGGGTCTAAATTCTTCAAAGTAATTGAATAGGTATTCAAGGAACGCGACTACTAATATGCCAAGATATTTTTCTAAAACTTATCTCCTGTGTTCCTTGGTAGAGAACACTATTTAGATGATTTACTTAAGATACTGGAAAGATAAGTCAAAGAGAACAATCACTTATTTGTCAAGTTACTCAAATACGAAATTGAGCTTTTGGAGGAAATTATTGAGATTAGATCTACTCAAAATGTTATCATGTGATTTATTAAGTGATTATTATTGGGATTATATTTAAGTAAAGAAACTAATTACTGAAATTATTGATTTTGATTCTATTCTAACAGGGGTTTTGGGGTTTTGGGGTTTTGGGG